CAAGGTTGGACAGATGGACAGACAGACAGATGGATGAGTGGATGGGAAAGAGAAGTAAAATAGTGAAGGGATCAGTGGGCGGAAGGACAGATGGATGAAAGGTGTGGACGGTCAAACAGACAGCAGCTAGGTAGACCTAGAACATTCTTCCCCAGATCTCATGGCCAGTTCCTTCTTGTCAATCAGGTCTTTGCTCAAATGTCACTCTCCTGAGAGACTTTCCCTGATCACCCCAACTACCTCCCAGGTATCTCCCATCTCTAGGTACACATTTTGTTCATTTCTTTATTAATTACTCTTCTTCCCAAGTAGAATGTAAACCTCATGAGATCGGGGTCCCTTGTCTGTCCTGCTCACTACAAATGTATCCCCAGCACCTGGAAGAGTGCCCAAGAAACTCAATATTTGGTGAATTCATGCATAATTGAATCATGGTCAGATAGAAAGGTGGCCAGATAGACAAGTAAAGGGGGAGATAAAGTCATTCACTCAGTGCATATTTATTGAGCACCAACTATGTGCCAGGTCCTCTGTAGGACACCAGGGAGGCTGTGATCACTAAGATGTGGCACCTGCACTCAGGGATCCCTCAGTCTGTGGGCCAGAGTGGGCAAACAGTCTAGCACCCCAGTGTAATGCAGTGTGGCAAGTGCTGTGACAGAGACAAGCACAGAAAAGACCACCTTAGAGGGACACCTGACTTGGGCATTGAAATGTGCATCCAGGTTAGCTGGGTGAGCGAGAAGAGGGGCCATCCGAGGACAGGAGGGAGGAAGAGCATGGGCCTTCCAGCCACTCTGACCAGCTGGTGCAGGAGACAGGAGCCTCTTTACCAAGGAGTCTGGGCTTTGTCCCAAGGACACTGGGAAGCATGGAAGGGTTTCAAGCAGTGGGTGGCAGGGTAAGAACTGAAGGGTGCTTTGGAAGAATTAATATTGTTAAAATGTTCATACTACCCCAAGCAATCTATAGATTCAATGCAATCCCCATCAAAGGTCCAATCAATGACATTTTTCACAGAAATAGAAAAAAGGATTCTAAAATTTGTATAGAACCATGAAAAACTCTGAATAGCCAGAGCAATCTTGAGAAACAAACAAAAAACCTGGAGGCATTACACTACCTAATTTAAAAATGTACTAGAAGGGCTGACCGGTTAGCTCAGTTGGTTAGAGCATCGTGCTGACAACACCAAGGTCCAGGGTTCGAACCCCGTACCAGCCAGCTGCCAAAACAAAACAAACAAAACATAAAAATATACTATAAAGCTTTAGTAATCAAAACAGCATAGTACTGGCATAAAAACAGACATATAGGCCAATGGAAAAGAATAGTGAGCCCAGAAGTAAATCCATGCATTGATGGTCAATTCGTTTTTTTTGTTGTTGTTTTTTTTTTGTCTTTTTTCCTTGTCCGGCAACGGATCGCAACCCTCAGTGTTGCCCCCGTACCGGACCGGGGACCGGCAACGGGATC